TGAGCAGGAGAATCACCTCCGCCGGCTCCTCCTCTGTTTATCACTTTTTATTACAGCAAACATCTCCAACGTAACAAATGAGGTTGACCTTTACTGCAAGAGATGCATGTTGTTCTGCCTCGGAAAGTGACGAATAACCAAAAACAGTCCAGAGATGACGAGTGTGCGTTGATGAGGACGAGGAGAGCTACAGGCTTACTCCACCATCATCAGTCATTCTCATTTCAGCTCAAAACTGAGCTGTAAAACCAGAATCTTACTGGGCTGCAACTATTGGAGACTAGTTGGTGCTCACATGGAAGTCTCTAACAAATGTCTGAAAATGTTTGACAGTGTTCTCAGTTTAGTTGTTTGAAGCACAAAGCCTCACAGCCTTGTTGCTTGAAAACATTCAGCAACAAGTCTCAAATTCTTCTCCAAAACACCAAAGTTGTGTTTTAACACATAAAGGAGTTCTCCGTTGTCAGAAAACATCCAAATCTACAGCTCTGAATGTCTAGGTCTAAAAAAAACCTGCTATTGAAAAAACTTTCTGGCTTCACTACATAACCATCATCCATAAATGTGAGGAAGATGCTGAGGTGAGTGGGCAACAAAATAACCAAGAATATGCCACACAAAATGTGTAAAGAGAAATGAGTCAAACTGCAACTGAAAATCTGTGCTTTTTTAAATTTTTATTTTGAGTCGTCAGCTGATCCTCCAACAATCACAGCTCAGGGAGATACCACCTTTAGAGAATCTTACAAAATTCAAACTTTATGTGGAGCTTGGCTTGTCTGTGCAGATTTATGCAGATCGTGACAAACTCTGTGGTGACCAGTGTTTTTTTTTTTTTTCCCTGTCCCGTGAAAACATTTAACTTTCTTTGATCAGCACACTGCAGATGTGAATCTGCATGAACTGTGATGGATGACGGGTCACGCCTGCAGATGGATGCACAACAATTGCTTTGGCCAGGAGCCAATGGACAGCATTCAAAAATGGGAAAAGTAATACAACTGAAAAATGAATCTTCTCAGGGTTTGGTTTAGTATTAAACTAGTTTGAGTACCCTTCTTATTAAAAATGTTACCGACATGAAGAGGTTAAACACTATCCTTAACTTATCCTCCACCTGCTGCGGAGGAACCATTAGCAGAGGAACTGCTGCACTTACTCTCATTTCTGCATGCATTAAAGTCAGGTGATAAACCATGCATGAAGAGCTGCAATCCTCTTCTTCGTTTCTCTCTAACGTCATCAACAACAACTCCAGAGAAATCTGCAGCTATTTTCTAATTCCACGCTTGTCATAACTCCCCGCCGCCTCGCTGAAACCCGGCGCTGCACTCCTAAATAGAAATATACCAGAGTTGTTTATGACGTGACCTCAAATCCAGCTGCGTACTGCAATTTGCTAAAGATCCACTAAAATGTATTTTTACTGAATCACCATTATTAATACACTGGCGCTATAAATGTGCATTGCTAAAAATCTTAACATGCTTTGGGAACAAAAAGAGGAAGTGAGGTTGAGAGGAGGACGGACGAAGAAAGATGAGACGGAGTGAACAGGCGGTGGGAGTGCTGGAACAAGGATGGAGCCGTGCACCACCGGGACTCCAACAAGCACTGCAGCATTCTGTCGACTTCATCCATCACTGATCTGCAGCAGCAGCAGCAGCATGGTGTGTGTCCTCTGTCTCTGTGAGGACCAGCGTGAAGGATTTCACCTGGAGACTGAGGGCATTTTTAGACAGCAAGTCGATTTCAGCCGTCCTTCACTTTTAGAACAGACTGGGTTAAAGTTGAGCGTTTAGCTTTCCAGGAAATAAAAAGAAGCTTAAAACGTAAATTTCAGCTCTATATCTGCAAAACTGACTGTTTGACAAAACTCTATAGGTAAGCCGAGCAAGTTCTTTGTAGTTTGATGTGTTCTTAATGTTGCGCGACGAGTGCGTTGTTCTTTCGGCTGCTCCCTTCTTCAGGGGTCACCACTCGCTCAAAGACTTGGCAATTGTTTTTACACCAGCTGTCCTTCCTGACCAACCACAGACCACCGAGCTACCACAGCCCTCTGTGTGGAGCAGGAAGCTGTCGTCTAGGGCACCCGGGGGAGCAGATGGTGGGGGTTAAAGGCCTTGCTCAAGGGCGCATGGTGGGGCAAATGAGGGTGGAAGCAGATGTGGGTGTTTCATCTTTCCCGCCTACATTTTGATGTCGGTCCACGGAGTTGAACCTGCGACCTTTCAATCACAGGCCCACCTTCTTCTACCTCTGTGCCACCACTCACCCCTATTGTTGCATAACGAGTATTTCTGAATTTCTGATTGACTGTGGAGAATGAGAAAAAACACGAATGCATAACATCAAAGTTCATGCTCGATCATCCAGGTACAAAACCCAATAATGGTCGGTCAGGTCATCCGATTGACCATTACTGGATTTTGTACCTGGATGATTGAGCATGAACTTTGATGTCTTGAACCACTTAGGCTGAGGCTGCCTGCCTGGGAGGAGTCAACGGGGGACAGGACAGCCCCCAGAAACCATCTTATCACTAGCAAACTGGTTGGTCCACTAAAGAAGTGCACTGCTTAGTGGGGAAAACAGTTTACAGGGGACTCCTCAGACTGACGAAGCCCTCTGGATAGAGGGCAAACGTCTTTCCACAAAAATAAACTGTCCAGATGACCTGACTGACCATTATTAGATGAATGCCTAATGTTCCTTGAAAGAATGCCTCACAGACCAGTGACTGTTGTAACCTTTTAAACGATGTTGATGCACAAAACCTCATGTGAGATCTCAGGATGTGTCAGCGCTCAGAGTTCATTATGAGATGAAGTCCAGCTACAATACACCAAATGCTAGCTCAATACGTGTAAAATCGACTGAGGTATAGACCCTTTTTTTTTAGCTTGATTTGAACTGGATTTGAATTGGACTGACTCCAACAGCTGTAGGTGTACACCCAAGCTGTAATTTCTGAGTTTGAATAAAATGTGTCCTGTGGTTCATGAGATATTTTGATGACACTACAGCCACGCAGACATTGGTAAAAACATTATCGCCCATGTTACGCTTTTTCAATGTGGACGATAACGATCTCGTGTTAGCACTTGGACTATGTGATGAGGATGGAGTCACCCTTAAACTACGAGTATATTTTGAAATTATGGGAAAAAATGGAAAAGGTTTAAAACAATCAAGTTGTTATTTTAGAAAATCCGTTTACCAAAAACTAAACTCTACTAAACATGTTCTTTTTCCCTCTTGAAATGTGAGTAATGTGGACTTTCTCGCCACCGAGTGACCTGGCATGGGAACGTCAGTGTTTTGATTCCATGGAAAGTAAGAAAAAATATCAAACGGAAGAAAAAAAAAACAACAACTTTGGTGCGTCGATTTTATTTTGTTCCCAGCGGTACGGTGCAGTCAGGTGCATGAATATCTTCATCAACTAATGTCCTTCCAAAAAGGTCTAACTGAAATACTGTGTTTAGGGGATTATCTGAAGTTTCGGTGTAAATTATATATGACAATTTATACTTAAATTATATTACACCAAAAAAAACAAGTTGTTTAATGATTCTAGCTGCACAGCTAGTTGAGCTTTACTGTGGGATAAATAATTTGGAATGTTAGGGACATTTAATTTAAACACAAACAACTTGCCAAAGTTTAATAAATAAGAACACTAACAGCTTTCCATACTTTTTCAATTTTTACTCAAACATTGTGCCATACATATTGCCTTAGTTAAGTTAGTAAATACTAAAACAACTTGCCATACTTTATTGAATAGATACTCATACAGCTTGCCTTTGTTAATTTAGTAAATACTAAAACAACTTGCCATACCTTATTGAATAAATACTCATACAGCTTGCCTTTGTTAATTTAGTAAATACTAAAACAACTTGCCATACCTTATTGAATAAATACTCATACAGGTTGCCTTCGTTAATTTAGTAAATACTAAAACAACTTGCCATACTTTATTGAATAGATACTCATACAGCTTGCCTTAGTTAATTTAGTAAATACTAAAACAACTTGTCATTCTTTATTGAATAGATACTCATACAGCTTGCCTTAATCTTACTTGACTTGACTTAGTTAATTTAGTAAAAACAACTTGCCATACTTTATTGAATACTCATACAGCTTGCCTTAGTTAATTTAGTAAATACTAAAACAACTTGCCATACTTTATTGAATAGATACTCATACAGCTTGCCTTAGCTTTAATAAATACTCAACTTGCTATACTTTACTGAATAGATACTCATACAGCTTGCCATACTACACCTCAACCCTTTCACAGTTTTTTTTTTTTTCTTGATGACTAGGAAACTTTTCCAAACAGCTGATTTGAAACAAACGGGCCAGTTTTTAACCTTGTGTGTTGTTCTGACCCGTCATGGTGGAGAGTGTTTAAATCATCTTCCTCTGCTGTTTTTTCTGTCATAAAATGGTGTTAAATCAAATGTGTACCATCTAGATCGGCGAAGTGATAATGTACTTGTTATGTATTTCCCGTATTGTTAAGACTCAGTGTTTGGACAGTTTATAGTCTTCAGCCTCAAAGCTTTGTTGCTCAGAACATGTTAGTAGTTTTGTTATAGTACTTAAGGTTCTGTGTGATGGAAGAGTGTGAGTTTTTCCTTGTTTGCTCACAGGAATGCCATTTTACATTATTTTCTTCCAAGGTGCGCAATTTTTAAAGTTGCGTTGCAAATGAGAAAAGCGTTTAATAAGACAAAGAAACATTTAGACGTTTGAAGAACATTAACTTGGTAAAATTGTGTGAAAGTGAATATTTGGATGCAGAGAACATTAGTACAGTTGTTTAATTAAAATGATTTTTTTAAGAGAAAATTACTTAAGCTGAAAGGAGATGTGACACTTTCTGTTATTGACCAAATGATTCAAATTCACATTCACACACAGATAAGTAAAAATGAAAATTGTTCAAAAAAACAAACAAACAAACAAAGAAAAAAACCACCTACCATTGTAGTTTCAGCAATGGACCCAAAACTGTTGATAAAAATGTTGCAGGTGACGTTGACAGGCGGACCTGAAAAAATGACAGAAGAAAAGAAAAGCGATGTCAGAGTACACGATTAATAAAGGTTATAATACTGTAATCCAAGGCTTATTTAATTATAAATATATTAACATTCTGGTTTTTGTAGTCTCTGTTACATTAAGGCATTTTTTTTTAATTGATTACCACATAAAAACGGTGTTTTCCATGAGAAAAGTGTGTTTTATAACCATTTGCCCATGACAAACAACATTTTTTTGGGAATCATAAATAATAATTTTGCAGTCTAGTTTATATATTTGATTATAATCAATGTTGTGCACATGGAAGTCTTTTTTATGTCAATGCTTCAGGAAATTGTCAACAACCCAAAACATCAAATATACAGAAAACCACAAAAACTCACAGTCTCTGCTGTGAACCATTCTTTATGTATTTATTATTAAGTTTGGTTATCATTTATTTAAATATTTGTCACCTGGATGAAACGCTCAGTTTTTTTTCCACTCATTTAATTATTAACAAAACCTCTTAATTAAAGAAAAACACAGAGCTTCTTTTGAAATGTACTCGTATTTATCTACTACATAAAAAGTTTTTGATTTTTTTAGATTTCTGATTAAATAATCTTCTACTTAAAACATAAAAAATTGGTTAATTCAGACAATAAACTAAAATTCTTTGTTTTTCTCCTCCTGTCTGCGACACTACCGTATAGGATTGTGTTAAATTATGTTTAAAGCTTCTTCACGTCCTGCATCTTCATGCTGGCTTCATGGACATCAAATCTTCTGAAAATGCTCCTAAAACTGTCGCCTTGTATGATTTTTGTTTTGTGACACTTTGGAGGATGAAAAAAAGAAGAAAGAGGCAGAAAGTTTTACAATAAACATATTTTAAAAAGGTCTCCACATACTAAAGAGAATAAGTAAATCTACCTGAATTATTTGCATACAAATACATAAAATCCTCAAATCGTCACAATCGACGTCAGACCGTTTAAAGAACGATACTTTCGTATGATAACATTTTTGATGACAGGAACATAATCAGGTCAAATGCATATTAAAGCACTTATTTACGTGCATGACCCTAGTGAGGGTCCTCGAGGAAGTCATGGGAGTTTGTCCATCCAGTCTACATTTGTTTTGTGGACTTGAAGAAAGTATTCAACCGTGTTCCTCGGGGTACACTGTGGGGGGTGCTCCGTGAGTATGGGACTGAGGGTCCGTAGTTCAGTCCCTATACAAGCGGTGCAAGAGTTTGGTTCGCATTGCCGGTAGTAAGTCAGACCCCTTCAGGGTGGGGGTTGGACTCCACCAGGGCTGCCAATTGTCACAGATTCTGTTCATAACTTTTATGGACGGAATTTCTCGGTGCAGCCAGCGGGTGGAGGGTTTCCGGTTCGGTGGCGTCAGGATTCCATCTCTGCTCTTTGCAGATGGTGTGGTCCTGTTGGCGCCATCGTGCCGTGATCTTCAGCTCTCACTGGAGCGGTTCGCAGCCGAGTGTGAAGCGGCTGGGATGAGAATCAGCACCTCCAAATCTGAGGCCATGGTCCTCAAACGGAAAAGGGTGGATTGTTCTCTTCAGGTCGAGGGAGAGGTTCTGCCTCAAGAGGAGGAGTTCACGTATCACAGGATTTTGTTCACGAGTGAGGGAAGAATGAAGCGTGAGATTGACAGACGGATTGGTGCAGCGTCTGCAGTATTGCGGACTCTGTACCGGTCTGTTGTGGTGAAGCAGGAGCTGAGCTGTAAGGCAAAGCTCTCTGTTTACCAGTCGGTCTACGTTCCTACTCTCACCTATGGTCAGGAGCTCTGGGTAGTGACCGAAAGAATGAGACTGCGGATACAGGCGGTTGAAATGAGTTTCCTCTGCAGGGTAGCTGGACTCTCCCTTAGAAATAGGGTGAGAAGTTCAGTTATCCGGGAGAGACTCGAAGTAGAACCGCTACTCCTCCACGTTGAGAGGAGCCAGTTGAGGTGGTTCGGGAATCTGGAAAGGATGCTCCCTGGGTTCCTTCCTAGGGAGGTGCTTCAAGCATGTCCAACTAGGAGGAGACCCCAGGGAAGACCCAGGACACGCTGGAAAGACTATGTCTCTCGGTTGGCCTGGGAACGCCTTGGAATCCTCCCAGAAGAGCTGGAAGAGGTCGATGTTGAAAGAAATGTCTGGGCCTCCCTGCTCAAGATGCTGCCCCCGAGACCCGACTTGGGAATAAGCGGAAGATGATGGCTGGATGAATGGATCTTTTAACTTTGGTTAAAATTCAATAGTTTACATTCAAGTCTTTATCTCTTCAGTTACGTAAATGGACTGTAAAGCAGCTGGATGGAAAACTAATTTTTCCTGAGTCAACAGCGTGTATGATGGTCACACTGTGTTACATGATGGTGTAACTTAAGGTCAAACTGCGCCTCGTGCAAACACACACATCAACACACACACACACACGCTTACACCACAGAGTTTGTGTTTCTGGCTCAACTCGCCGTCTAATCCCACAGGCTGGAGGCTGGCTGCGTATGAAGGAAGGGGTCTGGATTATTTTGATGGCCAATTACTCTTCCTGTCACAGTCCGAGGACCGCCCGAGGCCACGGAGGAGGTATATCAAGCCAGAGTCATTCACACGCACACAGAAAACACACAACTGTGGCTAAAGCATGATGTAGGCTCGCACACATCCGATTAAAAAAGGAAATAAAAAAAATCATTAAAGTTAGCCTTGGGCGAATGTTTCCCATGTGACTTATATGTTCTGGATCCAATTAGACCCAACATGTTACTTCCAGGACAGCGAGGAGGGACGGAGAGGAAGGGAAAAGTTTACCTGACACGCAGGTAAGAAATAAAACACCGCAAACTTATCAAAACTTATCCAAATGGGTATTTTTACATAAACTGATTTGAACAAAACTAAAATAAACTGGTTGGACTAAAACAATTGGACTGGGATGGAACAAATGGACCTGAAATGTCTCGATTTGGACCATATTTATCTGAAGTGAACAGGCGGGGGAGTTGTTTAATTTAATAAAACTGGAGTTTATTTACTTTGACTACCTGGATTGAAGTTACTTTAGTTACACTATTTAATACAAAATGTTAGAATTGGATTATAATTGCATTTAATAGGAAATTAACTGAATAAATGTCAGTATATGCGATATTTGTTTACATTTTGTTTTTTAATTAGGTCTGTGTTTTGGGATTCTTGTGTTTCAGTTGATTTATTTCTGCTTTCATGTCATCAGTGCTTTTAGTTTTCTCCTTATCATCCCTCACTCCTCTGTTTCTGCTGCCTTCAGTCCAGCCACGCCCACTCACACCTGCGCCCTGCTCACCTGCCGCAGCTGCAGCCCCTTCACCTCATCAGCTGCGGCATGTTAAGTTTGTTCATCGTTTCATTTCCTGCCGAGCGCAACATCTTTTCCGGTCCTTGTGCCTTTGTGTATTTCCTTTTTCCCTTCTCGAGTCTCTTTAAGTTTGCTGCCATCATCGTGTTTAATTTATCGTGTTTATAATAAGAATAAATTTATTTTTTGAGCTCCTCACGTCTTGTCTGAATTCTGGGATCAAACCAAGCTAAAGCCGTGATAATACCTCATCTTTAACTGTGTTTGTCTGGATTGAACTGCAGGACCATGAGAGAATACACCTTTTTTAAATAACTAAATCTGCTCAACTATTTCGAAAAAATGAATTTCAAATTGGAATAAATGTAACAGGACTGAATTGGAATGACCTGGATTAAACTATTTTAAAATAAACTATATTAAATTACTTTTTACTTATTTGAATTAATTTAGTTAAGTTCAACTTGAATAAAATGAACTAAATTCAGTTTAACGGTGCTGAATTGAGCTGATTTGTGAACTGGAACAAATTTAGTTGAACAGGAAAGCATTTTTATCGCTTTTCACAATGAGAGGTGGGTGATCATGTACCGTCATTTTCGCTGTATAAGTCAAAGATTTTTGCATAAATTAGAATGCCTGTGACTTATACAGCAAAGTAATGTATTTATGTTTCCATATTTATAAACCAATTTTTGGCTGAGATTTGACCATTTCATTCATTCTGACATGGAAAATATTGAACACTAACATTTTCAGTCACTAGAGGGACCTCGACTAATATGGCAAGCCAAGTGTCTCATTAATAGGTAAAAGTGGCTATTAATGAGAGACTTGGCTTGCCATACAAGTCACCTTCATCTCACTCCAGAACTCCTGGAGCAAACGTCAAATCAGCTGCATTTCGCCGCGCCGCCCAGAGGAAATGAAGCTGATTTGACCATTAATTATTATTATTATTGTTATTATTAAGGAAAAGTGCAACTGAGACACACCTTTGCTATAATTTTGAGCAAACAAATAATTGTTTTTAGGTGTTAATCTTGTTAAATTCTTGTTAAAGTCCTCCCATGCACGCTCCCACCATTTGGTAGCCAATCAGTTTTTGGCACAACACCGGCCCACATTTCCAGGTTGTCAGCGATGACGCATAATTGATGCAAAATATTTGTATGTTGTTGTTTTTTTCTCACTTTGTTAGACATATTTGGACTGATGCCACTTATAACGGCGGTGCGACGTGTACGGCAATTGTGATAATGTGTGTACGCATGTGTGTTTCTTTGTAAGCAAAACATCTCGTAAACCATTGATTGATTATTGATGAAACCGTCAGAAAGTAGCCACTGGATGTGGATTTAAAACAGATTAACTTCGGGAATCAACCTGACTCAAGATGGCCGCCACCACTCTATCTTAAATACAACGGCTTTAACTCAGCCAGGTTTGCAGACACTGGACTAAAACTGAGTTTGGTGGTAGCCCAGAGTCCTCTTTATCTCGTACTCTGAGGGCTGACAAATTGGCATGCAGGGTGAGCGATGTGCATTTCTTCAGAAAAAGCTAGTTTTGCTTTTTTAACTATTATTTGGAATTTAGAATAAATGCAAAACATCAACTGCGGTGCACCGCTCCTCTTATTTTTCTGCTATAAAAGAGGACAATCTCT